CGGCGGCACCTCAGGGGCTGGGGGCGGCCGCGCCAGCGGGGCACGCCGGGCCGCGCTGCATGCAGCGGATGAGCTCCTTGCGGTTGTCCAGGATGGTGTCGAAACTCTCCTGCAGCCGGTTCTGCTGGTCCACCACTTTCTGCTGGAGGCCGTGGATCCAACGCAGCAGGGCCAGGCGCCGGTACATCACCAGCTGGATGTGGTGCTTCTCCTTCTCCCGCTCCTTGAAGCGTTCCTTGTCCTGGAGGTGCTGCACGGCCTCTGCCAGTGCCGGGAAGAGGGTCCCCGGCTCGGGCTCGGCCGCCCCTGGCTGGGGTGGGCTCCCAGGGAGGGGGGCAGCGGCAGGAGGGTCCCAGGAGCTCCCGCAGGTGCTGTCGGGGCTGTCGATGCTGAGGGAGCTGCTGGTGTAGCCGTTGTCCTCCGCAGGGGAGCTCGGGGGCTTGCCACATCCCCCAGCCGGCTCCTCGGCGGCGGCGTTTTGGCCCCCCGCCCCGCCGACCTCCGCTCCCTCGGGGGGGCTGCGCACCCCCGGCTCGGGGGGACGCGGCCGCGCGGCGCCCAGGCTCGGGACGGCGTCCCTAAGCTGGCCCTGGACCATCTGTCTCTGCATTAATAACAGCAGATTATCGGACGGATTTGTCGTGTTTTCGCTCCGGCTGGAGCCCTCCTCCGGCGGGGACCCCGGTGCTGGCCGGCTCCAGTTCTCATTGCTGTCACACACCTCTCCCACGAAGTTGGAGTTGGAGTCCTGCCCGTGCCCGGCCCCCGGGACAGCCGTGCCCAGCACCAGGCCCCCCCGGCCCTGCCGGAACGGGGTGTCCGGCGCGCAGACGGCAAACATCTCGCCGGTCTCCTGCCTGCAAGAGAGACACGGAGCCATAACGCGTCTGCGGGGTACGCGGGCTGGCACAACCAGAACTCTGACCAGCTATGGCGAGTTAAAATATTTGCTAACTTTACCTGCCTCTCTTTAAAGCTACTGAACCCAAGTCATGGGCTCATCCTTTCTCGGCATTTGGCCACCGCTCTCGCGTTTGGCCACTGCTCTCAGTGTGTCCCCAGGCAACATCGCCCAGGGGCAACTTCTCACCTGATGCAAAAGCTCAGGGCAGGGACCTTCCACCCTGCTCTCCTCCCTGTGAGCTCCTGCCCAAACCCGCGCTTCCATGGCATCCCTTGGGTGCCTGTCGGAGGGCATCGCAGGGCGCGGGCGCTCAGCCGGCACGCTCTGCTCCAGCAGTGTTAGTGCTTGCGGTAGGTGCAATTAATTCAGTGCTGGTAAAGGTTTGCTTGGAAGGAGCTGCTTTTCCAACAGCAATAAAATGTATTTAAGCAGGTGAGACTGCCTGGGCTCCTCTGCACAAACTCTGCCATCTCCCCCCAGGTCGGGCTGTGGGTCGGGTCTGGTGTCTGACCGGTGACCCCGGCCGGGCCGCTTCCTTCTCTGCAGGACCGGGAGCAGACGGGACCAGAAAAGGAAAGGTTAACCCAGCATTTCTTGCCGGGTCATTGGCGGTGAGAGCCGATCTCCGAGCTCTCTCCCAGCAAGGACATGCTCACAAGAATCGCGTGAAGGGAAACCCATCGAGCATCCCGGTTTCACCCCTGGAAAGCAGCACAAGAGGCAGGAGGGCTCTGGGGCGCAGCGTGCCCAGCGCGGGGCGTGGGACAGGGGCTGCAGCAGTAACGCCGTCCCAGCCAGCAGCAGCGAAGACCCACCGTGGTGCACGCGGTCCGACCCCCGGTCCCACCGCTGGCCCGTTATCCCCAGCAGCGGGCACGATGCCCAGGGCAGGCGAGCTCACGCCAAGAGCTGCCGGTTGCAAAAGCAAGGCTGGCACCGGAGAGGGGAGGGCGAGAGCCTGCGCCCACCCAGGGGGGGCTCCCAAAGGCCTGGCACCCTGACACCGCAGCCTCCCCTCCCGCTGACACCGGCAACGAAGGACCGGGTGCCACCGCCATAGAACGGCTGTGCGTGTGTCCCCCCACCCGTGCCAGCCCGGGGCAGTGGGGGGGGACCGTACCGCAGCCCCGGGGGAAGGGCGAGCCGAGGAGCATCCCTGCACCTGCAGACCCCCCCCTCACTCCCCATACCGGCTGTAGGCGCGGGGGGGTCAGCGTGGGAGAAGCGGCGGTGGGAGCTCCCTGCCCGCAGCCGCACTGCGCCGGGAAACCGGGAAACAAAACGGGAAACGGGGAAAAAAAACGGGAAACGGGGGCGGGGAGGGGGGGAGAAGGCGG